TCAGGATCTGCCGGCGCAGCAGTCGCCTACCGGCTCACCGAAGACCCCAACGTAATGGTGCTGTTGCTGGAGGCGGGCGGACCTCAAAGTGTAATCACAGACATACCCGAGAACTACATCAATAACCTGAACTCGGAGTACGACTGGGGCTATAAAAACGTACGCAACCCGGAGGTGGGCGTGGCGTTCACAGGCGGGCAGATACCGCAAAACAGGGGCAAAGTGTTGGGCGGTTCGTCCACTTTGAACGCCGTTATCTTTAATCGGGGTAATCGTAAGGACTACGACAACTGGGCCCTACAGTATGGCGCTAAGGGCTGGTCCTATAAGGAGGTGTTACCGTATTTTATGCGCTTTGAAAACAATACCGACCCTCGCGTTGTGGCTGAGAGTCCTGGTTATCATAGCACTGAGGGTCCGGTGCAGATCAAGTCGTGGCATTTGCCTGAACCTATTATTCACCATCATCAAAGGGCCCTACATGAGCTTGGTCATAAGGATACCGATATTAATGGACCCCAACAGGTGGGGACTTGTATTATGCAAGCTTTTCAGCGTACAGATGGTATGCGCTCCAGTACTGCGAATAGTTACCTGGATCCAAACCCCCACCCCCATAACCTACATATACTGACGTACGCCCATGCCACCAAAATACTGTTGGGTGCCTTGAAAGGGCTGAGCGCTGAGGCCGTGGAGTTTCAAAAAGATGGCAAACTTCATAGAGTAAAGGCACGCCGGGAGATTATTGTGAGCGCCGGTATGTTTTAGTAACTATTGTATAAAATGGTATTATTTTTGTTACTTTTCAACCATAGGCTCCATAAACACCCCTCAGCTCCTGATGCTGTCGGGAATTGGACCCAAAAAGCATCTGAAAGACTTGCGAATACCAGTGAAGGTGGACCTACCAGTGGGCGAGTTTCTTAAAGATCACCCGTCCCTCAGTCTACCGACGCTCGTGAAGGATGAACGCCTCGTCCACCCGTCCGCCGAACTAAATGTCCGACAAATGCATCAATTCTTTAGCAACGGTTCCGGACCTTTGACTGAATTCTTTCATTCCATCACTTATTTGAGTACTAAATATAATG